TTTTTTGTTTTTTTTTTTTAATGTAAAGGCAGAAAGGAAAACTTTATAGTACCCTTCTTTTAAAAGAACCCAAGAGTAAAAGTTAGGAAGACAAAAGAATCCTTGGCCCTCTAAAGCCTCCTGAGGTCATTATATCCACCTACTTGTCTTTTTCCCAATTGAAATAGGTATCTTGCCAGAGCTGAGAGAAAAGGAGAGCTAGATAGATAGATCACCATTTACCAGCGTTAAATCCACCCAGTGATCAGTTCACCTCACTGGGTAAACTCACCCATCAGCACTATCACTAGCAGCAGTTATAGAAGCAATTCCTCGTTCCTTGCCTGACTGGGTATATCCTATGGGCCGCACACAGGATGTCTCTGCAAAACCAAGGTCAGATCCTATCCCTCCCAAAACAAAATACTATAAGCAGAGAAGCAATAAAAGAAAACACACACTCCATTATTTCCTAACTGTCTCTTTCATTAAAATGTCTCCTACCCTTTGCATGGAGAAACCTACTTTTGCCCTCTTGTCACAGAACTTTTAAGTCTAAATTTTCAGGAAAAACTGCAAATTTGTATCTTTTTGCAAGCCTTTCCACATTAATCTGCCCCATTCCAGGGTAGTCAGATAATGCTAATTTTATTTTGTGTACTTAATGGAAATAATAATGTACTGTATTTTATATTATTTGTTCCTCAAACGCCCTTCAGGAGTTCAAGTACACCTGAGAATGACTGACAATGTCAGGTCACTCTCCTTAGCGTCATGAGCTTATACAGAAGGCCTCAGGGATACACGTAGATAGAGTTCTATACTCTAAAAATCAAATCCCTGAGCATATGCTAAAATGGTATTGGAAATATACAAAGGTAAATGGAGACTGAGTTCTTCAAACGATGGAAAAACAATTTCTCTCTTCTAAGTAGTTTACAAGCATACAGAAATGAATATACATTGCATTCTAAAAATTTAGGTGAGATTATATTTAAATTGAATATAATACAGACTTTTCTAAAAATCTATATCCTTTATCTAAGGTGGTTTACCTATTATCCCATTGATTAAATGTTTTTAAGATATTTCAAAGTTCCATGGAATATTTCCTTACTCAGGAAGATGGAGAAAAGAGGAAAAGCTGTGAAACTAATCTACACCTCAGACAACAGTCACTTTGTCTAAGCAAAACCCTTTTCTCACTACAGGCCTTACCCAAGCACTCCTGTAGGGACTTCTGTAGCACAATCTGAACAATCTCCTCAAATTCTGCATTGGTAAGACTTGTCCTTTCCTGCAGAGACAAGAGTAAAAGAGTGAAGCTGCTTATCTTTCCCTAGTTGTTCTCTATGACCAGTCAGAGAAGCTGCCTTTAAATAGGATAGTGCATTCACAAGACTGAGAGTATGAAATCAGTAAACCTAAGGATTCCAGAAAGTCCATCCCAGATCTCCTGGGAATAAAAGCGTCAAAGAAAAGGAAAATATTTATAAAGTTTCTGTCCACTTCTACCCCCACTTCCATTCTACTTAGACATATATTTTCTCAAATGCTTTCATCCAAGCATTCTTCCCTCTTTTAAGAAGAAAACAGAAAGCCCCAAAAGGAATAAAAAGTTGAAATTACAGGATGCCTCTCTCCCACGTGAAAAGATTCTGTTTGTCCAGCTTGGGCAGAGGGGGAAGAGAGGGACTGTCCTACCAGAGCCCATCAACGTCACTGATACCTTTTCTACTTTCCCTTCTGCTTGCTTGTTGCATAGATTCTTTCCTCGCTCCTCCTGCCCGCTGCCTGGACCATTCTCAGTGTGGGCCTTCTCATTCTTCTTCTCTAATCTGGCCTTCGGCAGGCTTGCTGTGGCCTCTGCCTCTGGGGAACTGATCTCCCGAGTGTCCTCCTTGAGTGAGTTAGGGCTCAAAGGCATCAGTCTATGCAATTTTTGTACAGGTGGAGCAAAGGTTTTCTTTGGTCCCTTCCCATATTCTGAAACAAATTTGACCATCAAATGAAATTTATGAAACACAGAGTTTAGCACAGATATTGTCAAACATTGTCCATTGGCCATATTAGAATTACATGGAGAGAGCTTTTAACAAATTCAGATTCCTGGGCCTCTCCTTCCCTCCCTCACCACCAGCTCTGAGATTCTGATAAAGTAATCTGGAGCGAGACCCAGAAATCTGTAATTTTATCAGGCTATCTAGGTACTTCTAGTACAATGTCAAGTTTGTTATAAACATAAGCAAGCAGAAAGCTGAATTAGTCAAATGTGAAATTTTCTTAATTTGCTGATTATAACTTTGGACAACACTTTATGGGATATTGTTTTTGTTGTTGTTGTTACGTGCCACTGAGTCAGGCCTGACTCATAGCAACCCCTCTTTGGGTTTCCGAGACAGTATCACTACGGAAGTAGACTGCCCAACCTTCCTTCCAAGGAGTGGATGGTGGGTTTGAACCTTGAGCCTTTTGGTTAGCAGTCAAGTGCCTCAGGCATACGCTACCAGAACTCCCTATGGGATATTGAATTAATAAAAAATAAATAATAAATAATTTTTTAAATAAAATTAGAGATGGCAGAAAGTATTTACTAACAAATTCCCTCTGCCTTCCCTTCCAGTCAAAAACTACCAATTATTCGAGGCCCAGTTCTTATGTCACCTCCTCCGTGAAAACTATACTGATCCTCCCAGGGATAAGTAACATCTCTTTCTTCTGAGTTTCCATAGTAGTCTGTACCTCCCTCATGACATTTACCACATTCCACTTCATGTTACAGATAGCCAAATATCTTTTGTTTCCCTACTAAATCATATGTTCCTTGAACAGGACTATTTCTAAGTTATATTTTTATCACTCAAAGTATGTAACAGAATAGCAACTTGAACAGAGTAGACACAAAATTTATGTGAACTGAATTGCCCTTTCATAATAAGAGTGTCCTGATAAAAAAAGGGCTGAGGAAGAGGAGGAAAATGAGAGAGAGCCACAAAGTAAACCTCCCTCAATCCTGACTCACCTTCTTTATTCTGCAATGTTGCCATCATTCAGCTCTCAGGCTACCTTCCTTTGCCTCTGTTAGAAGAAAGAAACCGCTATGACTGATTAAACATAATTTTAAACTTTCTTCTCCCCGTGTTCTTGGACTCAGATCTCCTTGCCTGTTGTTGTTACGTGCCGTCGAGTTGGCCCTGACTCATAGCAACTCCTCCTTGGATTTCCGAGGCAGTATCACTACAGAAATAGATTGCCCAACCTTCCTTCGGAGGAGTGGCTGGTGGGTTTGAACCGCCAGCCTTCCGGTTAGCAGTCAAGTGCCTTAGGCACTATGCTACCAGAGCTTGCCTAAGATCCCTGAACTACATTTTACATACGTTCTAAACCCACTGCCATCAAGTCGATTCCGACTCATGGCAACACTTTAGGACAAAGTACAACTGTTCTATAGGGTTTCCAAGACTGTACATCTTTATGGAAGCACACTGCCTCATCTTTCTTCCATAAGCAGCTGGCAGGTTCAAACCGCTGACCTTTTAGTTAGCAGCCCAATGCTTTAACTACTATGCTACCAAAGGTCCTTTTCCTGCCTTTAAAAATTAGTAATGATCCTTAAGTGTCTAGAACCACATCTAATGTGAGAAAGGCACTCAAGTAGGTGGAAGCAGTAGTGGTAATGACAGTAGCAGAGCAATGGTAATAGAGTTTAGACAGTACTAACAGTTAAAGAGTGAGAGCTTTCTTCTAAGGGATGACCTCATTTTACATGGTTCTCCTAAATATTTGGAACACAAATAATCTGGCAAATTTCTGACCTAATTCAGAGGTCCCTATGCCTCAAGAGAACACTACAATATGTATTTTACTTAGATCCTCAAGTCCAATAAATTTCCCAATGTGCTGGATTCTGGCCATCTGTATTCATGGCTCTGAAATATTTGATACCCAGCAGTAGTCCTCAGAGAACCCAGTAGTAAGCACCTTCAATTGATATTCATTGTTCATTTGCAGAAATCTATTCACAGATGCTCTATAGTATATCGATATGCTTCATTATTACTACTGGTATTGTGACTAACCGTAACAGCTAACATTTATTGAGCACGGATTATATCCTAACATGTATCATTTCATTTAATTCTCCCGATAAATCTATAGATAGATAGCATTGTACACTTGGGGAAACTGAAGCTTAGAGATACTGAGTAACTGATAAATGATCAGGATGAGGGCCCATCTGATTTTGAAGTCTCTGCTACTAACTGTGTTACACTACATCCCAATACTCTAACTAAGTGCTTCACAACCAGTTTTATATAACAGCACATACAGAAAACATGCATTAAGAGTAAGTGTGTTGATGCCTGTGGCTTCCAGCCAAACAAAAGACAGGCATATGAATTGAACATTTACCTGAGGCAGATACACTCTGTGGAGAGAACAATCATGGGAGAAAGAAGGGCTGCTTATGCACAGGGAGACAGCTTAGGGGGCAGGAGTGCATGGAGGGATGGACACAGGGAAGAGGTAACTATGGGGAGGAAGTGGGAGGGGAGCTGTTGCATTGTGGTAAATTGTGGTCAATGTCATGAGACAAAGTGTATGTGAACTGCTGTATGGAAAGTGAATTTGCTCTGTAAACTTTCACCCAAATCACATTTAAAAAAAAAAAAAAGAGTGTGTTGAAAACACACTCAGAGTACAGTATTCTCCTCTGGGAAGAAGGACCAGGCTGCTCCGTCATAGGCCATGGAAAGGTGGGAGCTGAGTTGTAGCTCTGGGAGGGCATCTAGAGGTTACAAAGCCCCATCTCTCCTTTTTTACAGAAGAGGTCACATGGCTTGCCCAAAGTGTCAGCATTACTACACGGTAGAGCCAAGATGATCCCAGGCCTCTGGCCTCTGAATTCTACTAATAAGTCTTCTGCTCTTCTCTATGATCTTATTACTGGCTGTTGACTTTAAGTATCAGAAAGGCCATAAATCCGAAACTTTCTCTTCTAATTCTGCCGTCTATCTCCCACCAAAAAGAGACTCAAAAGCAGCATAAAATGCATCTTTTGGCATAGTGCCTAAGGCATATGACTGCTAACCAGAAGGCTGGAGGTTCAAACCCACCAGCCACTCCTCAGAAGGAAGACTGGGCAATCAACTTCCGTAAAGATACCACCTTGAAAAACCAAGGAGGGGTCACTACGAGTCTGATTCAACTCAACAGCAATGAGTTTGGGGGTTTTTGGGGGTTTTTTTGTTCAAATACAGAATTCCTCTCTCTAGATCCCAGATGAATTCAAAAGGTGCTGGGGGTTTGACTTAGTATAGCCACACTCACTCAAAACCAAACTAACTGCCATTGAGTCAATTCTGACACATAGTGAGCCCCTTTGGGCTTCCAAGGTGGTAAATCTTTACAGAAGTAGATTGCCCCGTCTTCCTTCCACAGCCATAGAACTGCTAAATGTAAAGTATTTTTTAAAGTAATTATCCATTGACACTTTCCTGTTCCTTCTCATACTTCTAGAAATGTGAATAATCCAGATGTGCTGTTCTGTAGCAAGTCCTTTTCCTTTTTATTAAGGAGCACAATTTCTCACTATTTCCATCTTAATCCATCTGTACAGAATCTTATAAATAAATGGTGAACTGAAACTTCCTGATTATGAAATAAGGAATCTTTCAGGGACTGCTGTTGTCTTTTATATTCATTTGTTCCAGGAAAAAAAGGAAATTGGAGAAGAAACACCACAGCAAATTGGTCTCCTTCTTTGTTATAATCTTAAATATTACAATATAAATCCTTTCATATAAATCCCATATAATCCTAAATATAAATCCTAAAAACTGAATAAAATTAGGCTGCAAGAGGTGTATCAATTTGACCACAAAAGACCAAAAAGCAAAACCAAACCCATTGCTATGAAGTCAATTCTGACTCATAGTGACCCTATAGGACAGAACAGAACTGCCCCATAGGGTTTTCCAAGGCTGTAAATATTTATGGAAGCAGGCTGTCACATCTTTCCACCTACCATGTGGCTGGGTGGGTTTGAACTGGCATCCTCTCAGTTAACAATCAAGTGCTTTAACCACTGTACTGCCAGGACCCCTCCACAAATACCTAATCTATCTTATCCCAGACTTCAGAATTCAAAAAAGAGATCACCAGAAGCCCCTATATATAGCTCTTCTAATTTAAATCACCTTCACAGGGGCTTCTCATGATTAGAAGAGCTATGCTGAGAATAAGGAGCTCTGGTAGCATAGTGCCTAAGGCATCTGACTGCTAACCAAAAGGCTGGTGGTTCAAACCCACTGGCCACTCTGCAGAAGCAAGACTGGGCGATCTACTTCCATAAAGATCTACTGCCTCAGAAACCAAACAGGGGTCACAATGGGGTGTCTATACCCACCCAAGTGCAACTCATAGAAAGTATGTTTTCACTACGATTCATAAGATTTTCAGTGGCCATTTTTTTCAGAAGTGGATGGCTTCATCCTTTTTCCCAGCCTGTCTTAGTCTGGAAGCTCTGCTGAAACCTGTCCACCACAGCTGACCCTGCTGGTATTTGAAATACGGTGGCATAGCTTCCAGCATCACAGAAACATGCAAGCCACCACAGTATGACAAACTGACAGACGAATGGTGGAAAATATTAGTAGAGCTAATTAGAGTGCTTGGTTGGGAATTCGGAATTTGCAAAATTGAAGACTAGAGTTATTATTGTTGGGAACTCTAGCCAGCAGATGAACACTGTGGTCAAGTAGAGCATGTAGAGTTAGAACACATGCAGCCATAACATCCATGTATAAGTGAACAGGGGAAAGATAAGCAATAAAGGAGAATGGAGAGGCAGGAAGAGAGGATGAGCGAGAGAGAATATGAGAAAACAAGAGAAATGTATACTTTTGGCTCCCAGTCCCTGGTCCCTGCTCTCTTTAGGTCAACTACACTCTGGTCCCTTTAGTCTCTGTGAGTCCTCTGCACCCTTGCAATAACATTTTGTTTGTTGTGCTGAAAAACTGAATTAACAGTGGCCTTGAGTTGATTCTGACTCACAGCAACCGCATGTGTATCAGAGTAGAACTGTGTTCCATATGGTTTTTAATGGCTCATTTTTGGAAAGTAATCGTCAGGCCTTTCTTCCAAGGCGCACCTTGGAATTTGAACCACCAACTTTTTGATTAACAACTGAGGATTTTAACCATTTACATTATCCCTTAATCTAGGGTGGGAGTATGATGAAGAACATTACTTTTAAAGAAAAGCTCTAACCTGATCAATAGAGACTGGAAAGCCAGAGAGTCACTTTCTGACACTGCTCCTCTGTTTCAGATGAATTTTCTTCTTCCACAATAAGGAATATTAAAAGCTAGTTCAGAGAGAAAGAGAGAGAGAGTTAATAAATATACAAAATGACCATGGGCTCTACACCCAGGAATAACATTTCTTACCTTACATGAAAAGGAGAGGGGGGGAAAAAAATCCAACAAGGCTTTAAGTAAGAAAGTAAAAGAACCAGGATAGTTCCATAAACACAATCCCACCCACTCAACATATGAAAGGAGACTGAATAAGGAGGGGGAAAAATTTAGAAAGAACTAATAAAGGAAAGATGGGTGAGGATCTCCAAAAAATAAAGAATTTTCTCTCAACACTGAAAATCATCACATTCATTCTAAGATGAAATCACCTAGCACAGTGGTTCTCAAGGTATGTTCCGAACCCCTGAGTCTCCTCCCTTTTCCAAAACACAGTATCTGGATTTTCTCACATACTTCAACCAAAATAAGGTATCAGGTTGAATACAAAAACAGATAAGAATCCAGCTGTCTTCTGATAAGGCAGACATGATTTGTAAAAATGCAATGCCATTCTTCACACTAAATTTGCTTTTGTTTCGGAAAATATATTTTTCATTTAAAATGTTAATTATGTTAACAAGTGATGGGTTAATTATTGTCGTTTTCAAATTAATTATTAAATAAATATTTTAAAATTTTGTTTTCATTTCATTAACACGAACAGCTATAAACCATATAGACAAAAGCCC